AAGTGCTAAAGACACTAATTACAAGTATAAATATGATTATCACTTTCTACTATCATGGTAAAATATGGTAAAATATGTTGAAAAAATTTACAAATCTAACTACCATACAATACCAAATGGTAAAATGTGGTAAAACATGGTAAAATATGTTGAAGAAAATTACAAATCTAACTACCATATAATACCACATGGTATAACGTGGTAAAACATGCTACATAAATTTACAAATCTAATTACCATACCATACCATACCATACCATATGGTATAACATGCTAAAATAAAATTACAAATCAAACTACCACCACATGGTATAACTTGGTAAACCACGCTACATAAAATTATAAATCTAACTAGCATACAATACCACCATAGTAGAACATGGTAAATCGAAGGACCACAAATTAATTATAATTACCATATAATACGAAATGGTATGAGAAGGTAAAACCATATAAATCTAATTACAACCCTTTACGACCATAGTAAAAACATGATATTCATAAAAATATATTTCGTTACCACACATTACCATATGGTATGGACACATTACCATATGGTATAGTGTGGTAATCTATATATATATATATATGTATATATACAATTACTCTTTCTTCACTTTCTTCTCTCCCTTTATTGTCTTCTAACTTTTTTTTCTCGGAACTGGTGTCGATTACCACCCACTACCACCATGATAAACCTCGTTACTATAAAAATACATTTAGTTAGCACACATTACCATATGATATAATGTGGTAATATCAATATATATTCTCAAAGAAGGGGGAAAACCGAAGGAGGAAGAGAAAAAAAAACTCGTCTTCTGTCTCCTCTCCTTTACTCCTCCGCAATCAAGAACACCAAATGCAAAAAGAAAGAAAAAAGAGGAGGAAGATCGGAATTGAAAATTCACAAACAAATACTAAAACACAAAAGATGCAAACTCGACTCACCTAGACCTGTCCCCTCTTTGACAATATGGAGCGTCATCTATTTTGAGGCCGAGAAAGAAAAAACAGAAGGAAGGAGCAGCTTGAGAGAAGAAGGATTTGGAGCGTCACCAAATTTGAGGTGGGAGGCTGCAATTTTTCTTTGTCGATTGTTGGAGAGAAAAAATGAAGAACAAGAGAAGAAATGAGATTTATATATGGAAAAAGGAGTTTGGAAGAGAGAAAGGAAGAAAGAAAGAGAGGAAGAGAGAAGTCTGTTTTTCTCTTTCCTCCGTTAAAAGACAGCATATAAATGCTGGAAAAAAGCAAATTTCAAAAATTAGACAAAAATGCCCCTCCACACTCCGCGTGCAACCCAGCCATATGATGATTTTGCCCCTAGATCTATGGTCCTGGTTTAGTTATTGACATATCAATAACCATTGGTTACTTACTCTATCCTAGACCCTTGTTGACCATTATAGTTGATAACGTATTTTATATGTGTTGTTTGTCCCGTTTAAATGTTTAGGGTTTATGCATTACACTTGTAATAATGTCCACTTAAGTTGTTAATATTGATCCCAAAAAAATGTTATAAATTGTGAGTTTGTAACCCAGACCAAAAGAATGAGACAAACAAAAAGAATGATATTCTTATCCACAATAGTCATTGATAAACGAGGCAAATGAAGATGATGATAAACTCATGTACAAGACACTTATAATACAACAACATCATACTGATTTTCTTTTGAAATACAAAATGAAACAAATACATAATGTTTTATGCATAAAGGCCTACATTCTCTAGCAAGAGCAAACTACCAACAGATCTTCGAATTCATAACATGCAACAAATGCAATGAGAATTTATTTCAAAGTGGATTTTTCCGACCTCCATCATTTACTCTGAGGGGTCGTTTGGATAAGGGAAATTGGGCAGGGATTTGGCCCAATTCCTGGCCCGTCCAGGAATTTAACACATTATTTTGTTTGGATAGCTCTAAAAATAGTCAGGATTTGGGCCACAGAGAATTTTAAATCCGGCCCAATCGAGAATTGGAAATAGCTACCAACCGCCAAGTATTTTAAATTCCGGCCTTAGTTTTTCAGTTTCTTCCCAGCGTGTCCCTACTATTTTTTGGTTATACCTATTATACCCGTAAACACAATTTTACGTACAGAACTCTCATTCTTCATCATTCGCGAGAAACGTCTCCCCTAACCTACCGTCGTCGCGATAGAAAGAAGTTGGCGATCTCGGCCAGAGGAGGACGCTCGGCGGCGACGGAAGCGAGGGAGAGCGAGCTTCTTCAACAAACCCGTTTGCAGCAACAAGATACCAGGTTCGTCACCTTATCCTTATGGAATCGGGTTGCGATTTCTAGGATTTGCCCATTGTGTTGTCGAGGGGTTAGGGAGGGAATTGTCGGTGAGCTTTTATGGGTTCTTACCAATCTTGTATGCTTCTTCTGTTTGCTTTTTTATTTATGAATCACCGCATGGCAGTACTAAATCCAATTGCTACAATTCTTCATTTTCCTCTATTGGTCCTTCATGTATGTTGAACCTGCTCATAGTGCATTGATTCCTTCCATGTGAGTCTTTGGATAGGATGCTTGATAGCTCTTTGTTTAAACTATTTAAAGATGTCCACCCACAACATTATTTCGATTGAATCTTTAGATACGATAATATAATGAATTAGGGACAATGTCTATGATTGCAAGAATGGTTTCTAGTAACTTAGGAGTCTATGTACTTACTTTAGTACAAACTCGTTCGATATGATGATTTGGGGGTTTAGTTAGGAGGAGTTTCTCATGGCTCGTTTGTGTCAAGTACTGGGATTGACATGATTGATCTGTGTTGAACTTGGGTGGAAATGGAACCACTGTAAAATCAAGAGGTATGCCCGAAGCTATGTTTTAGTGTCGGTTGTTGTAGGGTACTTCTTATCCTTTTGGTTTTTGTTATTTTGTTTGTTCAACCGCTATGAACGAGGATTGGGATAATGGATTTTTGGTTCTTTTAAGCTCGGTAAGGTTGACCATTCTGGCTACCTGAATGATACATATGCAAACTACAACCCTCAAAAACTTAAAAGTACCTTCACTAAGTACTTAACTGCTGATGGGTTTTTGTTTGTGTTGGGTACCAAATACTCGGCTGGGCTCTAGAGGGATATGGATCCTTAATGGTTGGGGAAGTGGGTCCAAAACTAAAAACGTGTTTGTAATTTGTAAATGTGAATAAATGGTGTTAACTTTCCTTACTTGTTTGAAACTAAAACATGGAACAAGATGGTTAGAAGAATGGAGAGAGGAAGGAAATTAGCTGCAAATTATGTTAAATCTCCTCATAAACCTGGTTTAGTTGTAAACTAGTTTGCACCTCCTTTTCTTTCCAAATTTAAAATGATACAGATGCTTTTCTAGATTCGTATTGAAATTTGCAGCCGCAATGATTTTGTATTGTGGATGGTCACATAAAGCAATAAATCCAACTACTTCTGCCAGAGGTAGCAGCTGCTCAGTTCTAAGGGAGAGGCGTTAGTGGACTTGTGGGCTAGGGTTGTTCTTGTCTCAACTACTGTCATAACATAACAGGGTCATTTGGTTCGAGAAATGTTAAAGGTTAAAAATGAATTGAGTATAAAGGATACAAAGACTGTGTCTGTGTGGATGGTAAGAGTAAATAGATAGATAGCTGCTGCCTTTGTAATCTTCCATCATCTACTACTACTGTTGTTGCTGACATTGTAATAGATACACCATTTATACATTTGACCATCATGGGATGATACATTATCTTAGGTCTAGTTATGCATTATCTTTTATATCAAACCACCTTGTTGTCTTGCAGGATGGGGAGAAAGAGGCATGCAGGTGGAGATAAGGATGGAGCAACCTCCAAAAGTACTCATTTTGGCCTGAGAAGCTTGACAAGCCTTTGGTTGAATGCATTTTGGAGCTGGTGGAGAAGGGGCTCATTGTGGATGGCAATTGCAAAAATGGCGGATATGCAGCACTCGAAAAGATGTTGGAACAGAAGGTATCAGGCTATGGCGTTAGGGGAAGACCCCATATTGAAGGACAGATTAAGAAGTTGAAGAAAAACTGACAGGCTGTCACATTCATGAGGAATCAAAGTGGATGGGGGATGGATGAGGTAAACAAGTGTGTCACATGACCTGATGGGAAATGGGATGATTTTGAACAAGTACGTATGCATATATTTATGGTGTGCTGTCTTTTGTAGCATTATACTAGGCTGCTTATATGTTGTGCAGTCCTCCAAGTATGTATGCATGTATTTATGGTGTGCTGTCTTTTGTAGATGTATCCGACTTGTCGAGGTCTGAACAAGAAGTCATTCCCTGTGTATGATGACTTGACTCCAGTATTTGCCAAAGGACAGAAGAAGAAGAAGAAGAAGAAGAAGAAGAAGAAGAAGAAGAGTGCACAATGAGGCTGCTTGGATGAAATGTACGCTGGATGTTGTTTGAGAACTCAGACAAGTTTTTTTTTGTTTTATTAATGCTAGTTTACTTATGTTGAACAACGAAGTCCATGATTAGTTATCTATATAGGATCAAGTATTATGTAGGATTATGTATGTTGTTTCGTGGGTAATAAATAAATTGTGGCAGCGAATACAGTGAAGGGTATAGCTGTAAATTCCACAAAAGCTTTCAGAATTAAATTCCCTAATTAATAAATCCCTATTCATAAACAAACAACATATTTAACACAAAACCTGGGTTTAAAATACTAGGTATTTTAATTGAGTGATTGTGAACCAAACCTCTACTTAACTAAATTCTTAATCCAAACGACCTCTGAATGTATTTTCAAATCAAACCAAGTTATTTCAATAATACTTTACAAATAAATTAAAAAAAATCTCAATCGAGACTCCAATAAAAAAATGGAATTAAATTCATCGGAGAAAAATGACATTAAGAATGTAGTATGGTCTGGTTCTTGGGTCCCGAATTGACATATGAACCAGACCGAAGCGTACCGAATGTATTGTTGATTTGGTTCTTGATTGTAAGATGTTTTTCACTATTAAACTGCGATATATTCGATCCCCTGAATTAGATCTGATTCGTACAGTACCGCGTTGCACAGCTAGAGTGATACAAAGCTAGCATTTTTTTCTTGGTGGAATGCTAGCATAACTTTCAATAGTTGTCTGTTGATTACAAGGCCAAATTGCTACATCTACGTCATGGTCCATGAAACCGTACCGGAGACCGTACCGAGAAAGTCAGCGGTAGGATATTTTATGGTAAAATCGTGGTTTAACCGTAGTTCAACCGTTATACCGGTAAATACCGCCTATCGATTTAGCCTCCAATACTGGTATTTCGTGGTTTAATCGCCGGTACGGTACGGTTTCATGGACACTGATATACGTGTCTTTTATTGTGAAACCGGAAATTAAAGTAATAAATAATAATCCCAGAGCTGCGAATACCACACGATTTGGTAGACTAGTCTTGGCCGCTTCGATCTGCGTTGATCTCGTCAAGAATCACAACCAGAGAGATGATGAAGGCGTAATCCACATTTGGGTAGATTGTGACCCTGAAATCGTCCGTGTCAAACAGGAAAGTCGCCATGCTGTGTCCTCTGTACATCTGCCCACACGACACAATTAAACACCACCTCCACAATTAATTAATGTCAGTTCGTCATTGATTAATTCACAAATTCGAGATCTGGGAAACTGAATTAAGTACCTGGGCAATGATCTTGTTGGTGTTCCCGAGATAAATGACGCAGGAACTCTCGGAGAAGCTGCCTTTGATCTTGAAATCGGGGACCTCTTCCTTGTCATTCCCGGCTAAGAACACGTCCAATTCGGTCCTCATCTGCAGCAACGACGACTTCCTCACCGTGAACAGCAAATCCTTGGAGTCCTTGCTGTCTCCCCGGTACGCCAGCCATCTCCTGTGAGCAGTCATCAGCTGCGACAAAAAAAACAGGGCACGAACAGAGATAATAATGATCAGTACGTAGATAGATAGAGATACAAGATCGATTGGTAACACAGTGACGGATACCGACCTTCTGCTGCAACGAGACGAGGACGGTGCCGGCGGCGTCGAGCAACTTGCGGCGGTCGTGGAGGCTCATCAGCTTGCTTTTGATCCGGAAGATGATTGTCCCGTTGACGTCCTTGACGGTGAAATCGTTTTCTCCCAAGGTCATCATCTTTGTGGCGACTGTGAGATCCACTGGGTACTGGGCCAGGAAGTAGGGGCTGATTACAACCGCCGGGTGCTCCAGCGGGAGGTACACCGTCATCGCCGGGATCGGGTTGGCGGGTTGACCGGCGCCGGACATGATGTTGACAACGATTGACTGTTGGGGAAGAGGGTGTATAACTGTATAAGTGAAATGAGAATAAGAAAACAGAGGGATCGGTGATGGCTGGGAAGGAGGATGGTGTGAGGGAATGAGGCAAATGTAGGAACTATATATATACATTGCTAAACGGTTCTGTTGTGCACGGTTCTTTTTTCAGGATCTACTTTATTTTTTGACATAACATCAACACAACCCTAACATGTTTGGAGATTGGATATCAAGAGCATATTTAGATCAATAACATATTTGGTAAAAAAATGACATATTTGGTAAATGTGCACCTTAAAAAATAAACATGATTTAGATCAATGAAATGATAGAAAATTGGATATCAAGAGCATGCGATTAAAGTGTAGCTGCAGTACTATACTACAAATTTGTACATCTATAATTGTGTGTTAACTTTTAATTTTTTAATAATTATATGAAAAATGTTAGTTATAGAGACACTTCGTCTCCACTTTACAATACCATATCATATTAATTCAATTGCCATAGATCCAAAGAAAATAGCAATTGATTGGAGATTGGAGATGAGGATGATCGTAAACCCAATCTATATAGGTATGGTGAAGGAATTACGAATAAAGCCTGAGTGAAGTCAAAATGCATATTTATGTGGAAAGGTGGTAACCTCATTTGTGGACCAACAATGAAACAGAAGCAAAATGCATAGAATGATATAATTTTAACGTATTTACGAATGACAGAGACTTGAGCGGAGCCGGCATAAAAATGTATGAAAAAGGAGCTACATTTGTGGGAGAAAAAAAGGTGGAAAAGAAAATTGAATTTTGCGGACAATGCTGCCTTGAGTAAAGTCAAAATGCGAAAAGGTAACTGAATCGCACTTCTATTTTTTTCGAAAGACAAATGGTAATTGTTGTGAAACTCGTGTGCAACACTTTAAGTGCATAACTTAGAACTAAATACAAATTCATAACCAATCTCACATGAATTTAAAGGACTATATCTTATTCGTTTGAAATCGGGTTTCATATTTTTGCATAAAAAGATCAAATAAATATACTAAAAATGACATTTATTATTATATATTAAAAGAAGAATTTATGTTTATTTTAGTAATTTTTATGGTGTAGGAATTATCCATGTATCATGATGGCACATGGTTGAACTATGAAGGTGTATTTTAGTAATTTTACGGTGTGCGAACATGTTATCTAAATCCGTGATTGTAATAATGTTTTGCTTAGCAATTTGACATTTTCGCTTTATAATATTATTGAGTAGTAACAACGACTAATGCAATACGCACACACACAAAAAACTGTTATTTTTTAGTATATAACTAATGAGTGTACCATTACACATATTTATACTAGTACAGACAAAATGTTACATTGTTGGTATGATAAAATACAAAAGAGAGTTGTCTTTTGATTTCTCATATTTTTAGCATGAAAAATCAAGTAAATATACTCTACAAAGTGACATTTACTGTGATGTGGTTTCGAAAAAAAGTACGTACATGTCATATATCATGGTGGAGTGAAAATCGAAAAATAAACATAATTATATTTTTCCCTTTGTAGATCATAGTTAATTCATTTTTCTATACAAAATGATTGAAATCCTGCTGCAATTAAAGAAGATATAATCTCATTGATATAGGTAGGTTATTAAATATTATTTGAATTTCAATCATGAGATCTATCCAATCTTAAAATTTGGTTATTAAGCCGATGTAATTTTTAGGCTATGCATATCTACTTGGCCTAAGGTTTTCTATCTTGCCCATAGTACAAAGAAATGAATTTTGTCCAAAAATAAAATGGCATTAGATAAAAAAATAAAGACATTGTTTTAATAAGTTTGTATGAAAGTTGGGAAAATTACTTATGTATTGAATGAGTTGCAAGAAAATAAATAATCATACTGTCTTTAATAAGATTTGGATTTTCATTAATTTTGTTGATACATATATAACTCAATTTTCCTGTGATTTTCTTTTAAAATTTGCTCTTTTGTGTATCATGGTGGCACATGATTGGATTATGTAAGTATATTTTAGTAACTTTATGGTGCAGGAACATGTCACATAAATATATAAATGTGATAATGTATTTCACTTAGTAAGTTAGCATTTTCACTTCATAATATTATCAACAACTAATGCAGTAAATACACAAACTTATTTTTTAATATATAACTATATGCGTGTATTAGTACAGATTATTTGTAGTAGTACAGATAAAATGTTACATTGTTGGTGTAATAGAATACTAAAGAGAGTCATCCTTTGACATGATATAAAAATAAAATAAGTGTTTGGATTTGGATAATAATAGAATTTCGGCATTTATGATTTTTTGAAATATTTGTACTTATTTATCGAACATATTATGAAGAAAACTTAAACGAAAGTTTATTTTATATATCAATAATTTTCTATGATTGGTAGAAAATACAAGAGTCCTTTTTTAGCTTTAATTTATGTAAAATTTAGGGTCAATATTTTCATTATTGGGTCGAAAGTCAACTGATAAATCAAGAAGATCACAGTGAGAGGTCGGGTGTCAAACCTGTTTATGACATGAGTATTAATTTTGTTATGGTGATAGCATCAAATAGAATTTGTCACATTGGTTAAACACTCTAAATAATATCAATTTGAATCTCACAGGTTGCAAGTTCAGTCTTATGATGATTATATATCTCATAAATATTTTTATGTTAGTGGAATATAAAGTTTATGGAAAAATAAAAATGATAAAGATTGAAATGAAAAATTATGGAGCTTTATGATTCCTAACGGGACAATAGATTGCTATAAAACAACCATATCATAAGTTATATATTTATCTTCCCCGGTGGGATGAACATCTTTCGCTTCCGCCGAGGCGAGAGACTAGAATAATTTCAGCCGACTCCTCCTCAAAACGAATGATCTCTGCGAACATGCATTCTTCCAAAACTCCAAACCACTTAACAGTCGGAAAAAGGGCCGTGCCGAATACGAAGAAGTAGAACCGGCAATCATTTTATTACTCTGTCCGGCGAACCAAAAGTTTGAACGCGCACGTACACCAAGCGAAGCAAACTCAACACACAAAGGAGCTAGCTAGCTAGAAAAAGAAGACCAGGAAATAGCTAGAAAGAAAAGAGAGATGATGATGATGACAAGATATCATATAATGAAGGGCCGTGGCCTGGATACTGTTGCAGCCGCTGTTGCTGTGCTAGTACTCGCAGCAGCGAGTCCGATAGCGATTCGCAGCGAAACGGATGATTACAGATGTGGACCGTGCTATGGCTGCGAATCTTGTAATGGAGCGCGCTGTTGCTGCAATTAGACCTGGCAAACGAGGACTCGAGTCGAAACCGCCCAAAAAATAGAAAATGGGTTGAATTTTTTATAATCTGAAACTCGAATGACCCGAACCCAATTAACCCGTAATTTTTGGGTCGGGTTGGGTTGGTTTGTAGGTGGACCCGCTAGGCCCATTACATTGAATATGTCACTCTCAAAATTATAAAATCACTCATACATTGGTGAGATGTTTAAAAAAATTCATATATATGGATTTGAAAGAGAAGTTTAGAGTGTAATGATAATCAAGCATCATTTGTTCATTGTAGTAGTATTACTTTCGTCATTGTTTTTTGATGATATGTGCAATTCGTGTTTCTTTTTATTAGCATGGAAAGAGTTGAGCATTTGCTAATTGACATGTGCCAGGCAAACTATTGTCACACATACCTGAAACCCGATGGATTGGGACAATATTTGACCCAAAAACAACAATCCAACATGACCCGACCCGTGAAAACCCGTAACCCGAGATCCTCAGGTATAGCAACAAACATGGATACTGCGGGGATGGTTACAAATACTGTGGAGATGATGTATGTATAATGAACTGCCACTATCAAACTCCAGCTTGTGAGCCTGATGATGACGATGTTTACTGTGATTACAGCACTGATAATTATCACAGAGACGGATCATGGGAATCGAAAGCAGCTAGTAGTGCGGCGAGATCATCAGTCGCAACAGCATGCACCAGTAGTAGTGCTACCTTGGCTGCCAATCAGTGCAGTCAAAATCGCGCTTTAAAGCGTAAAAGCGTACGATTTTACGTTTCTAGGGTAGGAAAATGTTTCAAATCACTAATAAAATCATTTTCACTCAAAATCGGTCAAAAGCGTAAGTAGAATCGTTAAAATCGGTGAAAACGTATAAAAACGCGTTTTCAGACCCTTTTTTTACGATTCCAAGCATTCGACAAAAAATGCCGGCACTCAATCAAAACGACGCAATTTTGGTATTTCGGATTCAAAAAAAAAGGAAGGGTGGCTATCGGGTTGGCTTCCAATCCATTCCCCTGCAACCCTAATTCTCTCCAGCAGCCACCCACTCTCCAGCAACAATCCCCCGTTGCCGCCGCGAGGCAGGCCGGCCTTCCAGCGAAGTATCAGGCGCCGCCGCCGCATTCCACCGTAGCTCCAGAACCTATCGCACGCCAACTCCAACGCCTGTCGCCCGTCGCAGTTGCACACTCGCCCTTTTTCGTCGCAATCGAGCAATCAAGCCCTCGTTTCCAGTAAGTCAACTTATCCCCTGCATCCATATATGTCAACTTGTATCCATACTTGTCCCCTTTCTTTCTTCTTTTGCTTATGCGCCTGGCATCAGTGAAGGACTCATTGCTCATTGTTCTTCATATTGGCTAATTAATATGAGAGCCTATGACAGCACCAATGCTCATATCAGAATCGCCCGATTGAACCAAGCAACCATGGAGATCATAATGTTCAATAGACTATGGTTAATCCAACCACGAATCTGGACCCCAAATTAGACCCTCAGAATCCAATTCCCTAACACAACCCCTGAACCCAACTCAAGCAGCAGGGTGCCATTTCCAGGATTCCCAATTTCCAGAGCAAAACTCTAGATAGTAGTGCAGGAATCTGCGCATGTTGGCCACATAAGGATTTGGACTTATTAAAATCATATATCATTATGTAAACTTAAACCAGCTTGTGAGAATTTGGATTCTTAACTCGTTTGTGGGTTACGATTTATGTTTATGACCTTATTGTTAAGATGTTATGAGTTTGTTCTAATTTAGACATGAATTGCATGTATTTTTTCATTTATCTAAACTCTGTAAACTCATATTTTACATAGTTTATACCATACTTAACATTATTTTAACTATTATACAGGATGCATAAAAAACTTACGCTTTTACGCTTTGATTCACCGCTTTTCGATTTTACCCCTTTTCCGCTTTTAGGTAGAATCGCGCTTTTAACTGCATTGCTGCCAATATCTCGATGGATGGGCGAGTGATCACTGTGGAACAAGGTCAGAGTAGTCCTCCATTTTGCAAAAACCATGGAGGAGGTCGTCAATCCAACAACGTCACTAGTTGTTGATGTGACTTGAATCGGACTATCAGCCGCTACTACTGGTCTGTAACCGTTTCCTTTGCCAGATTGGATTAGGTTTAGACCCACATTGAGAAGTACTATAAATACTTCTCATACTCCTCTGTAATCTGTAATCTCCTCGATATAGTGAAACTGGCTCTCTCTCGCCCGTGGACTAGCTAACACACATCGTGTTAGTGAACCACGTAAATCGTGTGTCTGTGTTTTTCGATTCTCGCTTTTGTATTCTTGCTTTATCGATTTCGTAAATTTCCCGATCCGTAGCAGCGCGTTTATAACAAATGGTATCGGAGCCGCGGCTGGAAATCAGGCTAGGGTTTTCGATTCAGAAGAATGACGTCGTTGAACATGAAGATCAAAAAGTTCACGGGGAAGAACAGCTTCGCTATATGGCAGATCAAGATGCATGCTTTATTAAAACAGCAAGGGTTGTGGGGCCCACTGTCTGCGAAACAGAAGAAGGCAGCGGTCGATGACGATGAGTGGAATACCCTGGAGGAGAAGGCCCACTCGACCATCATGCTATCGTTCTCTGATGACGTCATCATTGAAGTCGCTGCTGAGAAGACTGCCGCGGGCTTGTGGTTAAAGTTGGAGACTCTGTATATGACGAAGTCCTTAACCAACAAGCTGCATCTCAAGTAATGGTTGTTCAACTTGAGGATGCAAGAAGGTACGCCTTTGAGGGAACATCTCGAACAACTTAACTCTATTTTGTTGGATCTGCGTAATATAGATGTTCAAGTTGATGACGAGGATGCTGTCCTAATCCTACTGGTTTCTTTGCTGAGTTCATATGAGAATTTCGTTGATTATTTTATTGCTGGTAAAGAAAGCGTGTCGTTGGAGGATGTCAGGTCTGCTCTTCATACGAGAGAGATCAGGCATAAGGCGTCTGGATCTGGTACAGGTGGAAAGGGAAAGAAGAAATATGGTAAAGAAAATTCGAACAAGAATTCCAATGGTCCCGGTCCACAGCCAGGTGATGCTTGTCACAACTGTAAGGAAGTGGGGCAATGGAAGTACAATTGTCCCAAGAGAAAAGGGCAACAGAAGAAACAAGGTTCAGTTGTCGTGGCAGAAGTGGACAACAGTTTTGAAGACGATCTCGCCTTGGCTGTAGATGAGAAGGCACATCGTGGGGATGTGTGATTTCTGGATACTGCAGCCTCATACCATATGTCTCCGAACAGGGATTGCTTCACAACCTACGAGCAGATAGATGGTGGTACTGTGATCATGGCAAACAGAGCTGTCTGCAAGGTTGTTGGAATCGGGTCCATAAAGGTTCGGGCACATGATGGTTCGTTCTGTACCGTGAATGATGTCAGGCATGTTGCACGAATGACTAAGAACCTGATCTCCTTCAATCTACTCGACAGCAAGGGTTTCACCTTCAAAGGAAAAGGTGGAGTTGTGTATGTCCGCAAAGGTTCAAGGAAGGTGTTGAAGGGCGTGAAGCGTGGGACCTTGTATGCATTACAAGGGTCTGTGTTGTCTGGTTCTGCTGCAGTTGCATCGTTTCAGGTTCATCAGGAAGATATGACCACTCTCTGGCACATGAGACTGGGGCATATGAGTGAATAGGGGATGCAAGTTCTATCGAAGAGGGATCTTCTTTGCGGGCACAAGGTGCAGGATTTGGAATTCTGTGAGCATTATGTGTTTGGGAAGCTACATCGCAGCAAGTTTCCCAAGAAGGGTATCCACCGGACAAAGGGGATACTGGGTTTACCTCCACTCCGACTGTTGGGGTACTTCACGAGTTGAATCCATTGGAGGCAGCAAGTATTTTCTGTCTATTATTGATGATTATTCGAGGAAAGTGAGGCTTTCACGAAGTTCAAGCAGTGGAAGACATTGGTGGAGAATCAGACCGGTAAGAAGATCAAGAAGCTATGAACGGACAATGGTCTGGAGTTCTGTAATTCTGAGTTCAACGAATTCTGCAAGGATGAAGGGATTGCTCGTCATCGGACCATGAGAGATACACCCCAGCAAAATGGCGTTGCAGAAAGGATGAACCAGACATTGTTGGAGAGAGCACGGTGCATGCTCTCTAATGCTGGACTAGAAAGAAGATTCTGGGCAGAAGCAGTGAACATGGCGTGCTTCCTGATCAACTGTGAACCTCACACAGGTATCGAGTTGAAGACTCCTTATGAGGTGTGGTATGGTAAGTCTGTTGATTACTCTTCGCTGAAAGTTTTGGGTTCCTGTTTATTATCATGTGGATGAGGGTAAACTGAACCCAAGGGCAAAGAATGGTGTATTTGTGGTTTACGGAGATGGAGTTTAGGATTTCGAGTCTGCTCACCTTCTGAGCATCGGGCTATACTCAGCAGAAATGTGATATTTGATGAGAAGTCTATGTTTAATCCCATGTTGAAGGTTACTGTTGTTGAAGATAGCATGAATGTTGATAAGCAGGTGGAGCTGCAAACTCTCAATGAGAGTTAGTTTGAGCACCAAGGTGGAGAAGATCAACATGAGGATGTTTCTACAGAGCCAGAAACTTCAAAGTCCAGTGCAGGAGCTCAATAGTCTATAGCTTCCAGTAGAACAAAGAGAGCGACTGCAGGAGTACCTCCAGAGAGGTATGGTTTCGAGGATATGGTGGCGTATTCATTTCAGGTTGCTGAAGAAGTGGATGCAGGTGAGCCACACTCCTATAGAGAAGCCATTTCAGGTGGCGAAGCTGATCAGTGGCTTGCCACAATGGGAGATGAAATGGAATCCCATGACAGGAATCACTTCTAAAGAAGAAGGAAGGAATCACTTCTAAAGAGGGCATGAAATTTAAAGCTCGGGTGGTTGCACGAGGCTTCTCGCAGAGGGAAGGAGTTGACTACAACGAGATTTTCTCACCAGTGGTCAGACATACTTCGATCAGAGTGCTACTAGCAATAGTGGAACATTATGAGTTGGAGCTCGAGCAGCTAGACGTGAAGACAGCTTTCCTACATGGAGAGTTGGAGGAAGAAATTTACATGACTCAGCCAGAAGGATTCCAGGTTCCGGGAAAAGAAGACTATGTTTGTAAGCTGAAGAAGTCCTTGTATGGACTTAAGCAGTCTCCGAGGCAGTGGTAAAAGAGATTTGACAGTTACATGCTTGAGCTGGGCTACAACAGAAGTCCATATGATTGTTGTGTGTATCACAACAAGGTGGAGGATGGTTCGATGATCTATCTTGTTCTGTATGTGGATGATATGCTCATAGCTGCGAGGTCGAAGTCTGATATCCAGAAGTTAAAGGGGCTTCTCAGTGCTAAGTTTGAGATGAAGGATTTGGGAGTTGCTCAGAAGATCTTGGGTATGCAGATTTACAGGGACATGTCGAAGAAGAAGCTTTTCTTGTCACAGAAGAGCTACATCCAGAAGATACTGTCGAGGTTTGGCATGTCTTCAACAAAGCCCTTAAATACTCCTAGTGCTTCAAATGTTCATCTATCCTCAGCTTATGCACCGCAGTCAGAGGCTGAGAAGGAGTACATGTCGAGAGTCCCATATGCTAGTGCAGTAGGTAGCTTGATGTACGCTATGGTATGCACTAGACCCGATCTTGCACATGTTGTTAGTGTTGTCAGCAGGTTTATGATACAACCTGGGAAGGAGCATTGGCAGGCTGTGAAGAGGATCTTCCGGTACCTTAAGGGTACACCTGATGTGGGGATTAGCTTCGGAAGTGATACAAAGTTCTTGGTGTCTGGGTATTCTGACTCGGACTATGCTGGAGATGTTGACACGACAAGATCGATGACCAGTTATGTATTCACTCTTGGGAGTTCTGTAGTGAGCTGGAAGGCAATTTTGCAGTCGGCGGTGACATTGTCTACTACTGAGGCAGAGTATATGGCGTCGATAGAAGCTGCTAAGGTGGGAATATGGTTGAAGGGACTAGTTGGTGATCTTGGTCTACATCATGATCAGGCAGTGGTGTATTGCGACAGTTTGAGTGCAATATGCTTGGCCAAGGATCAAGTCCACCAGGAGAGGACTAAGCACATCGACGTGAGGTATCATTTCTTGAGGACAGAGAAGAGGATTAAGGTGAAGAAGGTTGGCACCGCGTATAATCCTGCTGATATGTTCACGAAGCCGGTTCCACATGGCAAGTTCCAACACTGCTTGGACTTGCTGAATGTCTTGAGTGGGTGACTCCGCCCTGTGGGGCATTGATGGCGGGAGAGAGAGAGAGAGAGAGAGAGAGAGAGAGAGAGAGAGAGAGAGAGAGAGAGAGAGAAGGAGCAGAGTACATCAGAGATGTCAGAGGAAAAGGATTCAAGTCAAGGTGGAGATTTGTTGATGTGAATCGGACTATCAGCCGCTACGACTGGTAGTCGGGGTCTCTCTTTCGTACTATAAATACTTCTCATACTCCTCTGCAATCTGTAATCTCCTCAATATAGTGAAACTGGCTCTCTCTCGCCCGTGGACTAGCTAACACACATCGTGTTAGTGAACCACGTAAATCGTGTGTCTGTGTTTTTCGATTCTCGCTTTTGTATTCTTACTTTATCGATTCCGGCGATTTCCTGATCCGTAGCAGCGCGTTTATAACACTAGTTATCGTGAAGCTTGTGGCCACTGCGGAAGGTAAACGTAATTTTACTCTTTCTAGCTAGGCTTTTGTTTTACTTATCAATTTGGGTTTTGATTTTTGGTCAAAAAAATGTGGTGATTCATCGAATAGGTGACGAACCGAAAAACTGGAAAGCAAATCATGGTGAGACTTCCGGCTATAGCGAGGAGTGCAGCAACAACCAACTTTTTGACTTGGGCAAAAGAGTCCTCCAAGGACTTTACACTGACGGAGAAGGACGAGGTGGTCGGGTTTATCTTGTTGTTGATTATCAAGCTGTGCAATGTGACGATGAAAATTAAACACACTATTTAAAACCATAACCATCCAGCTCCTACTCAACGACTCTGAATTGTGCTCAATTAGCATTGGGCCCGACCCGTTGGCCCGTGCTTCTTGAAATTTGAAGAACAGAGAATGAGATAGTTAAAAAAGCATCATTTGAAAATAATGGTTCAGGCAAACCCAAAATTTTAGCTTATCAGATTGTATTTCAAGGTTTAAACACTCAAATTGCAGTTTTACAAGAGCACTATCAATTATCAAATAGCTAATAAAATATGCGTTGAAATGACTGAAGTATAACAAAATCCAATATTGGAAATTGTAATCAAATAAATAATCGGGTAGGAGGGCATTAAGCACAGGTGCACAACGCTAACAATTAGAAACATATTCCATAAAAACAAAAAAAACATATTCCATACCAGTATCTGTATAACCGCCAAGACCCAAAACCCAACTATCATACCCATCATCAAAGCAATACCATACAAAAAGGACCTCATTGTCACTTCGTTTCTCTCCTTTCAGTCAAGTCACTTCGTACCTTTTCTTACTCCTCAATATAGTCTATGAGAACGTTTTTCTGCCCAACTCTCATGGCTTTAGAAGGGGGCGGGCCCCTAAGCTAGCTCTCGCCTTTCGATGTTAAAAAGGAGTAGTGTGATGGCTCTTTTTCCTCTGGCGTTTCGTAGTGTTCCTTTATTCTCTTTATCCGGCTTACGTTGTAGTCTAGATTGTTGATTTCATTACCGGGCTATAATAAAATCTTGAAGATTATCAGAGGAGGGATGTAACCAAGGATTGAAATACCGTATCGTACTGATTGTTCGATCAAAAATATCTTCTACCGGAGGCTAAATCGATAGGCGTTATTTAGCGGTTGAACCACGATCAAACCACGATTTTAACATAAAATACCCTACTGCTGACTTTTCCGATACAACCTCCGAAACGGTATTTTAACTGAATGGCTAAATGTCGGGATTTTTCCAGAAATAGCACTTTTTAAAAAAAAAAAATTCCAAAAATAGCACCCAACTCCGAAAAATTCCAAAAATAGCACCCTTTCTGAAAAACCGCTCCGTACCAGTGCGGTTTAAGCGAAAACCGCCACCCAGGGGCGCGTTTTTCGATGAAAACTGCACCCCCAGGGGGCGGTTTTGCAGATCGCACCCCCAGGGTGCAATTTTTTTTTTTTTTTTTTTTGAAAAATCCTAATCTAGGTGGAAACTTCAAACGGACGTATCTTTGTGTTCGGGTATCCAATCGTCGCAATTTTTTTTTTGATTCCCCATAACTTTTTGAGATCTTGCAAGCCAAAGGGGGTTTGGTCCCGCCTTCATCCCAAAAAATGTCGTTTGCTACCCCGAACGAGCTTTTTTCCGATTTCGTCAAACTTTGGACAACCATAACTTTGTGCTCCAAAATCCAAACAACATGAATTTTTTTTATTTCGCATAACTTTTTAAGGACTACAACTTTTATCATAGACACAATTTCAAAATGTACGTGGATTGCTGAGAAGGGAAGGTAAGCTATTCCCAAAATCCTGTATATCCAAAAATAATTCCTGTTTTGAAAATTCATTCTAGTAAAAATTGTAGTCCTAAAAAAGTTATGCGAAATAAAAAAAAATTCATGTTGTTTGGATTTTGGAGCACAAAGTTATGGTTGTCCAAAGTTTGACGAAATCGGAAAAAAACTCGTTCGGGGTAGCAAACGACATTTTTTGGGATGAAGGCGGGACCAAACCCCCTTTTGCTTGCAAGATCTCAAAAAGTTATGCGGAATCAAAAAAAATTTTGCGACGATTGGATACCCGAACACAAAGATACGTCCGTTTGAAGTTTCCACCTAGGTTAGGATTTTTCAAAAAAAAAAAAAAAAAAGCAGATTGCACCCTGGGGGTGCGATCTGCAACCAAATCGCACCCTGGGGGTGCGATCTGCAACCAAATCGCACCCTGGGGGTGCGATCTGCAACCAAATCGCACCCTGGGGGTGCGATCTGCAAAACCGCCCCCTGGGGGTGCGGTTTTCATCGAAAAACGCGCCCCTGGGTGGCGGTTTTCGCTTAAACCGCACTGGTAGGGAGCGGTTTTTCAGAAAGGGTGCTATTTTTGGAATTTTTTTTTTAAAAAGTGCTATTTCTGGAAAAATCCCCTAAATGTCGCCCTAATTCTACTACTATCGCTCTAACTTAAAAATGGAAATTACCTAATTGTTCAAAAACTAACAAAACAAAAATTACAAATCAAATTCATCCTATAAAAAAAAACACCTAATCCGTCGTCGACGTACTTTCTGCATCCACCCAAATCCCAATCCACCTCTTTTCTCATGCCGTCGTTGTTCTTCCCCAGCATCACTATATGTATGTATATATAGGGGTTATATACTTATGTTTGGGATTGCTATATATAACACTTAAGACAGGTGGAGGGAAATTAAACAAATAAGCAGCGCATCAGTCCATCAAATTCAATAAGGGAGTATTATTCCAAGCGGCGATCATGTTCCGGCAATGGCGGTAGCAGCAGCTTGCCAACGCTCTCGCAATTACATCGAGGATTGATGGAAGATAGAACAATGACGGAGTGGACTAGAGATGAGAATTAAATCAATTAATGAATTGATGAGTGATATCTCGATGGGTCGCAATGACTACGGGAGCCTATGCGCTACTGTAATTGGTGATCGATGCGGTCACGACGCCGGTAGATGAATGGTTGTGGTGGCGGGAGGTAGTGGTGACGGGCCGTCACTGACGGCGGCAAGTAGTTGTAGGGCGGAGAAGGTCAACTGCTAATTATTTTATTGGCTAAATTACAAGTTTGGTCACTCAAATTACATAAATCTTTCACGTTTGCCACCCGAATTACTTTTCTTTCTTATAAGCCACTAACTTTACGATTCGTTTCACCGTTAGTCACCTGCCGTTAGTTCCGTCAGACTCCATTAACACCATTAGTTTTTTGATGACTTGGCAAACGGAATTGCTGATTGGACTGTTAAATTAATGACATGTCAATTTAAAAAAATTAAAAATTAAAAAAAAAGTAATTAGAGTAGAGGGCCCACCTTGCCCTCCCTCGTCTTCTTCCTCTTCCCCATCGTCACGCCGAACCACCGAGGAGCAACTAATCCCGGATTGGAGGTTCCCTTTGAGTAATCGAAGGTTGGGAGAGACTCCGCTCCACCTAGAAAGACAACGTCGTCGACTACTTCAACTTCAATTTCTCCTGGGCGTTGAAGCCCAAAGACCTTGGGTTACTAAACTATGGCGTGACCCATCGGGCCCAGCGCTTCCGCCTCTCTCTGCCCTACCACCACCGCAAACGCAAGTCCGCCGCCGTCTCTTTCGTCCCTAGCCTCATCTTCCTACCCCTGCTCACAGACTTGGATCTCACCGGCCCCTGCCTCGACCGCTCGACCTTGTCGACAATGGCGGCTAGCCTCCTGCGAGATTAGGACCGAGGATCCGTTTGGGGCGTGAACCATTTGGGCGTGTGCGGCGGCAAGGAGCTCCAAGGTGTGGACATTCGATTCCCTCCCAGGAACTGGGAATAAGAGAAGTTCTGGTTATTTGAGTTAGAGATCTCCGCCCCCGAGCTCAAGTGTTCCCTAGATTGCTCTTTTTATTGCAGGGTTGAATTTGGGGAAAAGATCCCTTATAGAAAATGGAGGAAGAGATGGCAGATAGTAGGAAATGGAAAAGAAGGTCCAACAAAGCTGGTGCTGCCGCAACTATGCTTTGTTTGATATGGAGGATTTGTTTGATATGGAGGAGGAGCTACTCCAGTATTGTTCGGCGTGATGATGAGGAAGAGGAAGAAGATGAGGGAGGGGAAGGTGGGCGCTTTCCTCTAATTACTCTTTTTTTTTTTTTAAAATTGACATGTCATTTATTTAACAGTCCAGTCAGCAATTCCGTTTGCCAAGTCATAAAAAAACTAACGGTGTTAACGGAGTCTGACGGAGACTAACGGCAGGTGACTAACGGTGAAACGAATCGTAAAGTTAGTGGCTAATATGAAAGAAAAGTAATTCGGGTGGCAAATGTGAAAAATTTATGTAATCTGAGTGACCAAACTTGTAATTTAGCCTTATTTTATTGTTATAATATATATATTATCTCGTAAAATAAAATTAATATTGAAGGGTAAATCGATAATTTCAACTTTCAAATTAGGGCGATTAGAGAAAATTAGGGCGATAATTAGAAGAAAAAAAACTGGCAGGGTCTAAGCTAGTAAATCCATTAATAATTAGTTTTTTTCCCCCTCATTAGCCGCTTTCTTCCGTATCCCGATTCCCTTTTTCCTTCCATAAAACGGAAAAAGGAGAAAAAGATTTTCCGTTGTCCCTGATTTCTAGCTTCCCGTCTCCCCGTCGCCGTCTTGAAGGTGATCCCCTTCGTCGCCTTCAACCGTCCGGCGACGCCAGTCATCCATTACCGGCGTTTTCGCTGCTTCCTTTTACAGTTTTCGCGCTGCTTCTTCTTTTCTGTCTTCGGTCTCTGAAGAGTTTAAGGTAAATTACATTGTTGCTGCTTCTCCACCTTGTAGTTCACAACTAATTATGAACTTATGATTAAGGATCCCAGAATTAGCGTTTAACGTTCCCGTTTTTCCAAAGAGGGGTTCTTACTTGTGAAGCAAGTGACTGTGGTAGGGCTCAAATTTGATCATAGACAGTAAGTAGCATGGTTTTGAATCTCTACAGGGTTGCTAGCTATTAAGTTTTACTCAAAATTGCTTCGATTTAATCTCAGCAGCGTTGTGGTTTCAATCTCCCCATCAATTTTGGTTTATAGGTTTAAGTGATTCTGCAGTTTTCGAATGTTGATGTCATTCGTTACTTTATGCTGGTTTCAGGTCTTTGATTCCTTCCAGAGGTCGAGAGAAATAAACGGTGGAGAGGTTGGGCATGCAGAATAAGATGGAGGAACCAGCGGAGAAGAAGAAGAAGACGCAGTTCAGGCTGTACAATGCAATGAGTAAAACTGTGGAGGATTTCAAGCCCATTGTTCCAGGCAAAGTCGGCATGTATGTCTGTGGTGTTACTGCCTACGACCTCAGCCACATCGGCCATGCTCGTGCTGCTGTTGTCTTCGATGTTCTATTCAGGTATATTGTAATTTCAACACTAATAGTTTTAGTCTGCGAACTGTTATTTTATTGCTTGCTATGAAATTCTGTAGGTATCTGCAGCACTTGGGTTATGAAGTTACCTACGTGAGGAACTTCACAGATATTGATGACAAGGTCAGATTTTCCATTGAACCAATTGCTTTTCACTTGGTTAGGATCTGTACATTACGAAGAATAATGAGTGGTATCGACAAGATTTTGGGGGTCATTTGCTGATGCTTTTTTGCTGAAGGGGATGTAATTCGAAATTAGTGAGTGTGGCTTTTGTTGATTAGTTAAGCGAGAATGTAACAGGTATAGTAATCCGGAGGTTAAGAAGTAGGAACTATAGAATAGCTTTTGGCTATTCAATCATTTCTTGTTCATTGAAATATAGGGTGGAAGTTAACCTGAGCAGCATTACTCGCATTCACAAGTTACAATGTGATGTTTGAAGTCTCATGCTTTTGGCTATTCAATAAGCAATACACCCAAATGTTTATGACAGAATTTGAGTGTTGTTCACTTCATTTGTTGGATAATGCTTTAGCTGCTACTGCTATTGAAGACTTTTTGTTTCAGATAATTAAACGTGCAAATGATCTTGGTGAAGACCCTTTGTCCTTAAGTAATCGGTTCTGTGAAGAATATATTGATGACATGAATAACCTGGCGTGCCTGCCTCCAACCCATCAGCCACGGGTAACTGAACACATGGAAAACATCAAGAACATGATCACTCAGGTACCTTTACTTAAACTTCTCTCTGTTATCTTCCACTCCTTTATATGTTTGATTACACTTCGTGAAACTCTTGACACATTTTTCTGCAGATTATGGAAAATGGCTCTGCATATGCTGTTGAAGGAGATGTGAACTTTGCAGTTGATAAGTCCCCAAACTACGGTCAGTTATCTGGGAGGAAGTTGGAGGACAACAGAGCTGGTGAACGCATTGCAGTTGACTTGAGAAAGCGCAATCCTGCAGACTTTGCTCTTTGGAAAGCTGCAAAGGAAGGTGAGCCGAGCTGGGACAGCCCATGGGGCCCTGGGAGACCAGGATGGCATATCGAATGCAGTGCCATGAGTGCACATTATCTCTCTTTCAAGTTCGATATCCATGGTGGTGGAAGTGATCTGATCTTCCCACATCACGAGAATGAACTGGCTCAAAGCAGCGCTGCTTCCAGTGACAGCAAAGTCAATTTCTGGGTTCACAATGGCCATGTCACCAATAACCAATTGAAGATGTCCAAATCCTTGGGCAACTTTTTCACCATCCGTCAGGTTACATTTATCCCTCTTGTACTAATTCCTGCTCTTTCTCTCCTTCAATGATAAGATAAAAGACATCAAATTTCTTTGCAGGTTATTGAGAAGTACCATCCATTGCCTGTGAGAATGTTCTTGCTAAGTAATCATTACCGTACGCCCCTAAACTATACCGTTGCCCAGATCGAGCAAGCTTCTGAGACTGCTTGGTTCATTTATCAGGTATTATTATCTTTTGGGGGATCTTCAATTCTGCATGTAAGTGCTTGTAGATGACCTTTTATGGTTCAATTTGTGGTCATTGATGGTAACAGACATTGCAAGACTGTGAGGTTGCTTTGTCACCGTTTCAAGAAAGGTTAGCCAAGGGTGGCAAGAAGCCTGTTCAGATTGCTGGTGAGGCTCAAACATGCATCACTAAGCTGCAAGAAGAGTTCAATGATAAATTGTCCGACGATTTGAACACGTCACAGTTAGTTACTGGGAGGAAGTTCAATGAAGCCTTGAAGTACATGACTCTTAATCTGAAACCCCTAAAGGTAACGTTCTTTGTTCCAGCCATCTCTCTTTTTTATTTACCAGTTTCTTCATCGTTCCATTAACGCACCTGCTCCTCCATTTTGTAAATTGGCAGAAGCAAAAGCAGATGTCACCATTAGTTCCCTCCATTGCTGCAGTTGGTAGAGAAGTTGAGTCGATTCTGAGAATTCTTGGCTTGCTGCCAACTTGCAGTTACGATGAGGTTGGTTTGCCGGAAGATTGATTTCCTTCAATCGTTTTATTGAAATTGAGAAATTTTGGATCTTCTAACCAGCTGAGGTTAACCAACTTACATGGTATACAGGTCTTGCAGCAGCTTAGAGATAGGGCATTGGTTAGGGCAGGGCTAAAGGCAGAAGATGTGGTACGGTTGATTGAGGAAAGAACCACTGCGAGGAAAAATGAGAAGTTTGGAATAAGTGATAAAATCAGAGCTGATTTGGCAGCAAAGGGAATTGCACTGATGGATGAGGGGAGGGAAACCGTTTGGAAGCCATGTGTTCCCGTTTTGCAAGGCAAATGGGTTAGGTTCGTGGGTTGGATTCGCGCATCAGTGGATTCATTGATTGGATTTAAATGGATTTATCGGTTTATTGGTTGGTTTAGACGAGTTACTGGGTTGGTGTATCATTCGACATCCATGAAGAAGCAGCCATGAGAGTTGCAGCCGCGGTAGCTTTGGAAGAGCAGGTCAGTATAGTTATTTTTTTGTTTATCTTTTAACTTCTGAAAATTGTTAGTTTGAAAGGGTTACTACCATAGTGAAGAAAATTGTTCTTCTAGTTGTTCTAGTACACAACGAAGTGATTTTTCTTTTGAGATTTCTACCACAGTATTTGTGAAACCGCGATCTTCTTTTCATGAAAAAAAAAGTCGGAAATAAATTTCTTTGCAAGTGACGAGTTTTCAAATACGTAGGGTAGGCTTGGCCACTTCCTTTTTAGTTTCCTTATAAATCAAAACAACAAGAAAAAGATAGAAAGCAGATCCAAAGTGTGAGGACACCGAAGGGAAGGGAGGAAAGAAGAGTGAAAGGGATTAGTAGACAGGAAGAAAGCTACCCCTTCTTGTTAAGTAAAGCAGCCAATCTAATCTGATATATCTGCATAAGCCCTTCTACTATGCTATATTGTATAGCATTGGTGCTTTAATGTACAACTTAAAGTTGTACCATAACATTAAATGTATAAGTTTAGGTTGTACCATAAAAAAATTTGTATCATTATGTTACGGTACAACTTTACAACTTGAAGTTGTACCATTACATAAAGGTACAAATTCAAGTTGTACCATAAAAGAATTTGTACAAAAAGTATAGGTACAATATGAAGTTGTACCATAACGTAAAGGTACAATTTCAAGTTGTACCATAAAGACAAAAACCTATAACACCAATACTATATAGCATTGTAAAATTCCTCCTATCTGCATTCATATACAAGGACGCTGTTGGAAAGCAAACAAGTCTAAGCAACCAATCAAATTTGCCTTTCGTGGTTAATAGACAATATATGTGTATTATTTAGTTTCGGTAAAAGGCTCATTTCTCCATCATGTTTAGTATTAAATTGTACGTCTTAGGTTACATCTGTTTCAAAAAAAAATTCTCCTTTGGTTTTTCGTGCAAAGATGAACAAAGGAATTTGTAAGAATTATCGTGTGAAGTTGCTCTCTTGTTCCGTGATTTATGGGAGAATCATTTCCATCCACCAATGTATCTTTGTTGATGGGAACAAACGAATTTATAACAATCATTGTGTGAAAATGTTATCTTGTTATAGGGTTAATTGCAAGGCTGGTCACTGAGATTACTAAAGGTCACTAAAAATATTTAATTCTGTTCTTAGTCACTAAAATTAATTAAAATGTTCAAATTTAGTCACTCTCCGTTAACTTCCGTTAACGGCGTCAGTTTTTTGATAACGTGGCTAATAGAATAGCCTAATCAGCCTAAATCAACCTGTCATGTCAACAGTACTTGCCAGTTGCCAGGTCATTAAAACAACAACACAATTAAATTAAATTAAAAGAAAACAAAAAAAAATTAGTGTTTCTGGATCTCTTCCTTCCGTCGTCGTCCTCAATCGTCATCTTCATCCCCATCGTTTCATCATTCCTTCGGCGTAGGCGATCAAGGGAAGGCTTGGATCCAGTTAAACCAATCTTCAAGAGCGCATAGAGGATGCAAACCCTGCCATCCCAGAAAACAACGACACAATTGCTTCCGGGAACTGATAAAAACGTACATCGTCAATCAGCAAACACTCCCTAAGATTACCTTCCCACATTATCATTCTCTTACTCTTTTTTCCTTGCAATTTTAGGCCCCACCATCCGATAAATAGCTTTGGTTTCGTGGTGAATACCTCCCGCCTGCACTGGAGGGCGAGTTGAAATTTGTTGCTCCATGAGTATTGGCTGACCAAAGAGGAAGAATTGCTTCTCTCTCTTGAGAGGACGAAGAAGGAGACAAAGGCTTTTCAGGGCTTGAACAACCCCTTCATCCTCTTCATCGCATACCTCCTCTGTTTCGATTTTCTCTGACTGGTTTCCTCCATCTGGATTAATGATGATGGGCGAGGGTTCCAATGGACTCTAGGGGGAGGAGGCGAGTCGGCGGCCTCGTCGCCTTTAGGCAACGAAGATGAAGTTTTATGTGGGTTATTGTTTTAGGGTTTTCGGTGAGGGAAAGGGTGAAACAGTGAGATTTATTTAGGAGAGGGTTTCAGATTGAAATTCTAGGAAGATAGGAGGGAAGGGCAGATCGGCGGAGGATAGAAATAGAAGAGAAACGGAGTTTTCGATTGAGAGCGATGGTAGGCTCGCGGTTGTGATCAGGCAGTGGCCGTCCTTTTCTTCAGCGGGAGGTGGGTAAGGTGGGATAGGGTTGGGTCAGGTCACGGTTTGTTTCATTTTTCATGATGTGGCGGGTTATGATGACATTGCGGGTCGGGTTAAATTAGGCTGATTAGGCTATTCTGTTAGCCACGTCAGCAAAAAAACTAACGTCGTTAACGTAGACTAACGGAAGTTGACGGAGAGTGACTAAACTTGAACGTTTTAATTAATTTTAATGACTACGAACGGAATTAAATATTTTTAGTGACCAAACATGAACGTTTTTAGTAATCTCAGTGACCAACCTTGCAATTAACCCTCTTGTTATATGATCTAGTCTATTGTAACTAAAGGATCAGTCATACTTTGAAGAAGGAGAATCATTCTAGTCCACCAATTCTAGTAAAAAAAAAGTTTTTTTTTTTCTATTTAGGACGTACCGACCGTCTGATTTCTAATTTTCCGAAAACAGTATATGAATTTATTTTTCGCTCTTATTTCTAAAATGAGACAAAATTAGAGAACCTAATGTGTCTGATTTAGTTTCTGACTCCTAATTATAATTGTGTTAGAGCATGTGACACTTTATCCTAAGTCATAAAAAGAAATATTATGGCCCACCTACATATACATAAACCTAAACCTACGTGAAGTCATATTAGGTTAGCCCATGTAGTTTGGAAATTCTCCTCCTTCTGTTCTGACCTAGGATCCCTTTTTAAAGGAGCTAATAACAAAGATGGGGATGGGTACAAGAACTACGAAACATGCATGCACCAACAAACCTACTACTACAGTCTATACATACATCAAAGATGGATGCTTTAATATAATTTGGGGCGGCAGATAGGAAAACTCTTTACTTATAATGTAGCTGTTTAGTGTTCATTTAGTGCAGTTCTGGGGAATACCAATTGAGTTGTCCATAAAGTGGCATGGAAAGTTTTGTCGTTATCGTCTTTAGAATTTCCTTTGATTTTATAGGATGGCTTCACTAAATGATACTTTGGGTGAGTTTCGGTAGAGGTTTTTAATTATTTTTTCTCTTGTCATTACTTAGAGAAAGACAAAAAAAAAACGTAATTGTTCATATTTCAGGATTCGTTGACGGATTTTGGTTGTGCAATAACATGCATATATATACGTTGCCTTTCATATTCCCACACCTCACCTCTGTCATGTGTTCTTTCTAAACCCTAATTAGCAAAACTTCATTAATATATCAGTTCCTCATTATAATGCACAAGTACTCCTCATCATTCATTATATTCTCAACCGAATTCCATGCATGTGGAGTGTATACTCAATATATGTGTACCTATCATCATAATTCATAAACAAGGTTAGGTATATCATGTTTGACTGTTTGTCTGCTTTGCAGTTTGGACAACATAGATTCATAGTTTTTTTTTCTAATAGGGGATAGAATACAATGGAGCAAAGGACGAATGAACCATTGATATTGATAAACATAATTAGCATTTGTTTGCATGAATGGCATCATAAATACACTGCTTAATACTTGTTTTCTGTCATTTTACTATAGTTTGGATAAATTATCTTAGATTAATCTTTTCTTTTCTTCTTTTAAGATGAATACTTATGAAATATATTTTAATTAAGGGTTATAGGTATAATATGCCCCTCTACTATGACGTTTTATTAAACATGCCCTACTACTATTTTTTATATCAAACATGCCCCTGTACTTTGTAAAAATGGTCAAACATACCCTTTAATTTAAATTTTCATCCAAAAAACGTTAACCAAGGTCGGACTTTGGTTTGGGCGGACAAATGTCTAATATATTCCTAATAATTTCACTTTTAGAATTTTTTAAGTTCTTTTGTATAGCCAATTCGAATAATTTCACTTTGAATAGACTCAGATAAATAAAACGGGAGACAAAACTTAAATTTTTCTCTCCCATTTGCCAATGCCGGTTCGTCTAAATCTCGGTTCAACCATGATTGGCGATTTTTTCAAAGGAATTTTAACAGAAGGGCATGTTTGATAATTTTTTCAAAGTATAGGGACATATTTGATATAAAAAATAATAGAGGGGTATTTGATAAAACGTCATAGTAGAGGGGCATATTATACCTATAACTCTTTAATTAATTGACGGTATTACATTTAAACTACCACGTAATATATATTACAAATTACAAGTTATCGAATTTTCTTATATTTTTCGATAAGAAATTAATATTATTGAAATAAATTGATACTTACCACTATGAATTAGATAAATCTTACTTTCCATAGAATCAATTCAAATTAAACACAAATAAAGCTTCATTTTCTGTTCTTTCTTGTCTTTTGGGTAGGAAGCTCCAATTTTTCTTGTTAGTCTAATCAGGGAAAGAATTTTTGGCAAGCATGTGAGGACTTGGACCCACATGAATTGTTGAAAAAAATCTAATAAGTTTTCTTATTAATGATTAAAATTTGGTTAGTCTAGCTAGCAATCTATACCTTTGACAATTGACACAAAGGTGACAAACATGGCCACCAAACAAATCTTCCTACCACCTCCACCTATATCTTATTTGCATCATGGGATGGGATGGACCAAATTTAAAAAAAGGATTAGTTGGAGATTTGGGAGACTAGCTACTCCATATGATATTGCATCAGGGTTGTCAAACCGGTTTATGCCAGTGTGCCGGTTTAGCAAGTAGAATCGTTCAACCGGTGGCACATACCTGTTTGTGCCGGTTTATGCCAGTCAATATTACAAATAAAATTATAAATACTCATATTTAAACATGACATTTAACGTAAATACCTAAACATCTATATTTGAATTCAACAAATAACATCAATATTTAATTTTTATACTCATAAAATAAATAATAAAATAATTTTTATCAATTAAATTTCTAAAATAAAATCATCTCACTTAGAGATTCGTATATATATCATGCCGGTCATATCGGTGGTGTCACGCCAGTTTTATGACCGATATCGATTGAACCCGGTACAACCGGTGGCATGTCGGCCGGCGTGACAACCATAATTGCATTGAGACCTTACCTTTCAAACAGTAAACCGTTCTGAATTATTAATCATAGAAAAAAACATGTTTTCCTGTCTCCCTTTGATTCTCCCTAACTAAGAAAATGTGCATACTTTCCTTTTGTCTTTTCCCTAACAACAACATCGTGAGTCACGACATTTGGAGCCATGAAGGAAGGAGTTGGAAAGAGAAGATCAAGAAGAGGTAACATGATCACTAAGCTAACTACAATATGAATATATGATACCCATATTTCAACAAAGTCACCCTCCTTTTGACCTATCGAAGACTTAAAATGGCTATTGCTTGCTTTAATTAGGTTCATTTGTTCTTCAGTTATTTCCTAGCAAATTAAGTAAGAAATTATAGAAAGATCAATAAATATATCAATACTGAAAATGAATCACGGATTCCATCAAGATAAATAAATATTAATTGGAGAAATGTACAAGACCATCGGAGTCTAAATGATGAACATCCAAAGTCATATATTCCTACAGCAAATACAAATACAAAAAAAAAATTATGTATAACCAAGAACAAAAGAAAAGGAGATCATGGGCCAGCTGGAGCCAGACTGAGATGCAAGTCCAAGCCCAACGAGTCGTCGAAACTGGGCCCACCTTCTCCTCTCGAGAATCTGCTAAGCGAAGTCGGCCCATCCGGACTGTGGTGGGACCCGCCCATCCCTTTCTGGGCTGGCCCACCCAACAATCCCAATTCCCCAACGGCGCCACCACCACCACCGTACAAAAACCCCCCCGCGCCTCTCCCACCACCACCACCGCCGCCGCCGCCGCTCCCGCCCGCCATCCCTCCACCACCACCTCCGCTAAACACGGCGCCATGGGAGACCCCAAACGGCGGCGCGGTACGCGGCAAATAAACCCATGACGGAGCCCCGATTAGGGATCCAGCGCCGCCGGATGGAGGAGAAGGGAGGAGATGCGGCGGCGGAGCGAAGGCGGAGCACATGGGATTCCTGATCATGCCGCCGGCGAAAGACACTGCGGCGGCAGCGGCCGCCGCTGCGTTGCGTGTGGCTTGCAACTGGGCCCGCTTCAGCTGCTGGCGCTCCTTCTTGTGCGCGTTCTGGTGTCCCCCTAGAGCCTGGGAATTGGCGAACTCCCTGCAGCAGTACTGGCACTCGTACTTCCTGCCGTTCCCGCCGTCGTCTGACGCCGTCGGCGGCGGAGCTGGTGGGCCCGATGTGGAAGAAGTGAAACAGCTGGATTCCAGTGATTCAGCTGCGGCGTTGATTTGGTGCTGGTGATGGTGGTCCTCATCGTAATAGCTGTTGTAATTATGGTTATAGTTGTCATCTTCTGAGCAGTTGGATGAGGAGACGTTGAAGCCGAAGAGCTTCAGCCGCGGGGAGGCGGAGGATGACGACGACGTGTCGGGCTTTTGGTAGTTTTGTAGCTCCATTTCTTCCATGAATCGATTCCAACCCACAACTTGTGAACAGAGTGACGATGAACTTAACTGTACAGTGTAGGGAAGTTTAGTTGGTTAGAGAGAGAGAGAGAGAGAGGTGGGCAGTAAGTAAGTAGAAGAGGTGGGTTGGAGGAGTTGGAGTATGTATATATAATAGCAAATGGATTAACAAGAAAAGAAAGAGGGAATTTGGAAAGCTCAAAGCAGGGGAGGAGAAGAGGGAGTGTGATGGAGAGGGTAATGTTTGTCTATAGTGGATAAACAGAAAGTGAAAAAGGGCTTGCGGACTTATTGTATGTAGCGAGGTAATTTACATGGAAATAAAAAAATAGTGAAATGGTCTTAATGGACAGTATGACAGCCTACAAAGTATGTTTTTTTTTTTTTGGGTTCGAAAGTGTGAGGGTTGAATTAGCCTTTCCGTCAATGACTATTTGAAATATGTCTACAATCAATCTGTTAGATCAAGTTCATCGCGCGAAACTAAAATTTCGGTGTCATAAGAGTTTATTCTGAACCATTTCTTTCAATGTCAATCAGAAACTATACAAAATTCTTGTCTACTTAGCTCTGGTGATAGTTTTACATCTCCTCTGAAAACTGTCTCGAGTCGTATGTAAGCGTTTATTCTAGATGACCTGACTAAATGAATGGATGGATGAATGGTTTGCTAATAATCCATTACCCACATATAGCATTCCGATAAATGTTATTCATATCTTATCCTAAACTATGTACTGTGTAATAGGGTTGGCGGTTCGGTTCGCGAAACCCAGAAAAGCGTTATCCATTTGAAAACCGAACACGAAACTGACAAGAGAGTTTTCGGTCCGAAACCCGATAACGAAAACATCCTATGGAATATGAAGCGTTTGTGTTTTTAGCTATACCCGAAACCGAACCGAAAAATAAAAACCAAAACCAAAAACCCGAACCCGAAACAAAACCGAAACCGAAAATCCGAAAATACATGTTATCAGTTCGAGTTCGGTTAAAACCAAAAACCCGAACCAGAATTGTCAGCCCTAAGTCTGCATAATGGAAGGGGAAGAAATCAAAATGAAAAACCAGAGAAAGGGAGAGGTATGCATGCTGCTGTGGACCACTTAGAGTGATGATGCAAAGTGTAAGTGGGTTTCAAAGTATGGAATAGCCAATGAGAAGCTAACATATCTTCGGTTTGAATATGGTACAAATTACATTTGAAGATCACCATTAAACTAGATTAACGATCATCATCATCCATCAGTTTAGAGTATATTCTTTATTTGCGCTTGGTGTACCAAAGACCCACTACTTAAATGTACACAATGGGGATTATTAAAAAAAACAAATTGTACATAATGGGGGTTACAAACAAGAGAGACCACCACACATTTGTATTTGACACGTATGCCTCTCAATCACATATATAATAACAATGTTAATGTTGTTCATCCATGATCCAGATCTACTAAACATAATCATGTTTTGTTTTCTTATAAAATAATATTTACTCTAAACTGATGTTATTATATATTAAGATGTTATATTAGTTGTGTTGATGTGACTTGAATCGGACTATCAGCCGCTACGACTGGTAGTCGGGGGTCTCGCTGTGTCTCTCGCCCGTGGACGTAGCTAATACACATCGTGTTAGTGAACCACGTAAATCGTGTGTCTGTATTTTTCGATTCTCGCTTTCGTATTCTTGCTTTATCGATTCCGACGATTTTCCAATCCGTAGCAGCGCATTTATAACAAGTTGGATTCTACCGTTGAGGAACAAAAGGCTTTGGAAATTAAGGGAAGGAGCTCTTTTGTTTGAATATGCCATTCCAATCCAAGGTGCTAAAGCTGACTGCGAACGCAATACCACCAAAACCATTCCCACTACTACGTACCACTATCTCCATAATACAGCTTCTTCGAACTTTCACTCAAAAGTCAAAACTTGGATCCCTTAACGGTGCAATATTATGCATTATGAGTTAGAAATGATTTTAATTTTTAAGGTTGGATTCGATAGTGTCTGCAGTTATATAATGAAGAGCATCTCCTGCCAGTATCACATTATGCATCCATGCAGACAACGCTCCAAGAACTTCTCGTTCGTTGTTTTATTGTATTTGATGGTCGGACTACTTTAACTCACGAAGAAGTTTATGCAAATAATAAATCAGAGATTATAACAAATTGGAAACATGAAAGTGCATAAGAAATACACATGTGAACTCTCGAGTTAAATCCCTTTGTGCGTAAGAAAACATGGTTAATGTGCAACCAACATACTTAGATGTCAATGCTTTATTACAAGATAGAGAAAGATGACTACATGGGAAAAAAAGTGTCAAGATACATGAGTCTGAATTAGCCTTTGCCCTACTATTCACAAATCGGTTGAACCCCCGTTCACACCTAATTAGATTCACGTTCTATAACTTGTTGATTAAGAAATTTGAACCAAGAGAGAGAGATCGACATGAAAGAACAAAGGAAAGGTGGGTTTGAAAGCGTAGCACATATGGAAGGAACATAATTGTGAAAACACAATAACTTGGGCGTATCTGTTGGAAGATATGGGAGATATGTTTGATTGTGACACGTGGGCCATTAACTTATATACTTACTGATTGCTCCATTACTATAAATACTATAAATGAGCCGAGCTGTTTGCGAGCGGCTCGTTGTTCGACTCGAGAAAAGCTCGTTCGAAACTCGGCTCGTTAATAAACGAGCCGAACGTGAGCTAAGTTTTCTTCAGCTCGTGAAGCTCGCGAGCTAGCTCGACTCGGTGGCTTATTGAGCTAAACTCGTGAGCTGGCTCGTTTAGAGCTCATGATATGTCTCAACATGTGGCTAGAGAGCCAACTCGATTACCGACTTATGGACGAATCAATCAATATCTTATGTTTTTAATTCATATGGTTGTTAAATTATATATTGCACCATATATAAAGTTTAAAACGTTGAGTATGTGAACAAATATATCTTATTTTCTACTTTAAAAAAGATTATGTATCATAAATTGCTTCGTTACTATGAAATAACATGATTTTGAGTAGTTAAAATTTATTAACTAAATGATATATGATACCAACAAAGTATAATATGATATTAGCTAACAAAATAAATCATGTGTATAATGATATACAAAATGAAGTACCAAATAAAAGTTAAGATTTTAGTAAACAAGCTAGCTGAGCTCGAGCTCGACTCGTTTATTAACGAGCCGAGCTCAAGCTGGAGTAAAACTCGACTCGACTCGGCTCATTTGCAGCCCTAAGTGTACATGGTCAATTATTTAACATTTTCCTCTCTCTCCTTTTTGAGCAACTTCTATGATATGTTATGTTACGTGGGCTACAACAAGATCGACTTCATCATTCAAATGCATCTTTCACTTCAGTTTGTAGGGATGTGACCAGGTGGGAAACCATCGAATCCAATCAAATCTAAGTGAGTAAGTCTTATATCTGATCAAGGAATAGTTATTTCGGACCACTCGAGTTAGTGACGGACAAAATTAAAAATGAATTTCGTATTGATCTATAATACAGTCTCTTAAATAAAAATCAAATTATTGGTTTCATAAAGTTTGCAGATAGATCTTTATCTCAAATTGTAATATGCCCCTCATATAATAGGCAATTCGTAGGCTTGATAAATTTTGCACATAATCACTATAATATGTTGTTAAATCATGCATGTAAGTGTTAGGGATCGTGGAGAGTTGAGCACAAAAAATTCTGGTGCCTTTTTAAGAGCCAATTGCTTCAGATAACTCGTGTTGTTTGGAAGAGGCATGAAAATGAATCTTGTATCGATGTCTAACACTATGGAATAGAGACTATATCATATCAATATATAATTTGGTTTTTTTTATGATTTTTCCATTAAAATTTATTTTATTTAAACTTTGTTGTAACCGTTGGAAAAAATAATAAGTTGTAAACATGTCCAGTTCAAACTCCATCAATCCAAATAAAACGAATGCATTTTCTGTCATATAAGATTATACGTATAGATTTCGCTTCTCACACAACAAGAAATATGTGGGGTGATTGATTTTTTATTACGTATAAACACGCTAATCGATTTGATCAGACCTGAGCTTGAGAGAGGAGGAGAATTCATTCTCAAGTGTTAGTCAGCATGTATGAGCAATACCAATATATGTATTGGGCCACCTCCCAAGTTACGTGGTGATGATGGACTGTCATTTGTTCTAGCTAGTTTAGAGGAGATGTTTGCGTGATTGACGTTGAAATCTATAAACAATTTTCTTTTCAAATTATGTCGTCCCACAACCAATACTTTGTGTGTTTATTGATTAAAAAAAATTACTGTTTTGTGTTTAGCTTGGGAACGGCTACGGTGCTAATTGTACAATAATTAGCACCGTCCTAACCAAGGGAAAAACTACTACTAGTTTGAATTAGTAGTGATTTACCTTAGATGTTGTATTGATTTTATAATAATCCGTAGTGATTTCGTTATTTTTAGGAGCGTTTTTTGCTAGTTATCACGGTGCTAACCCTTATAAGGGTTAGCACCTAATCCCATCCCGTTTAGCTTGTGTTGGAATTATTTTCATATTCCAGTTAATGATGTGTTCCCCCTCGTTTTTTTAATCTTAAGCTCTCTGCTTTTCTGGGCGGATCTTCCCGAATCTTACTAACTACAACTCTAATATAACAGAGAGAGAGAGAGGGTGAAAGGGATTGAAGGTGGCGAAAGACAGAGTTATTGTTAAGAAGCTAATTAGCTTCACTTTAATCCACTTGCTAATAAACAATTATAGGCTTATGAATTAAACTGATGATGATCAATCAATTCCTTGTTAAGTGTTTTATTGTTCAAAAGCTCATCATCTCGCAGTAGTCTTTATCACAACCACAAGAAAGACCCACCACTGTCTCCTCTTTCTCCTCTCTTTCCTCTTTGAAAAACGAGTGCACTTTCTCAGCTAATTCATAATACTTTTTCCATTGGGTTTATTGATTTGTGAATTTAGGGTTTTTGGTCGAGATTATGATAATTTCACACATGCATTATGATCGTCGATTCAGTTATGTTGGCGAGCGAGTGAAGGTACGTAATCTAGCTAATAAATTGTCCTATGGAGTAATATTTCTC